ACTAGTAAATATGACATACACGTTGCAGCCAATTAGCTTGATATTATTTTCTACAATAACTTCCACTGATGTATCGAAAACAAAATATCAATTTCCAGGTCTCACCTCGAGGAGGTTGCTGCAACTCGGAGACCCACCCTACCCACGGCGTCCCATCCTCCCTGCCATTCGAAAAAAGAAAAACAACTTTTTCTCTCCAATTCCTTTTACTCGTTTACCGTGTAAAAGGAATCGTTCTTCTACACGCGATCCGATCGTACTAGCAGTACAGAACAAAAATGTAAACACACAGACACGCCTTAACACACGTAAATTTACGTCGAAATTCGTCGAACTCATCCGATCATGTTTACAACGCACGCAAAGTCGAAACGCGATACGGTAGGCATGCAGAGGAGGAGAAATGGCAACATGTCACAGACATTTCTCGATACATGCGTGAATAATATTTTCAAAATTGTACAAAATCTTCCTTGATGAATATACTCTTCGAACGTTGCTACCTACAGCTGTTAATAACTACAATTCGCGCGCGACTGTTGTTGACATAGTACTCGACTATATCTACAAACATGTTACCCATCCTGTAAGCTGTAACTTAAATCGACGGTAACCTGAAAATTAGCTAAACAATGGGGATAGTGTGTGCACACATAATAAAGTTCACCCTATAGAATTACCACTGCCAGGCAGGAAACATCGAGGTTAGGAGGTTCGTATAAATACGACATGTTTGTCACCTTAACAACTCTTTTGTTTCTCATTGTTGTGCTTTATTGATTACCCTAATTATACGATATTTTCACACAACGTTGACGTTTAAACCCTTTACATCCTCTACCTACCTTCATGAATATGTATTAAATATCATTGTTTTACCTATAGGCAAACGTAATGAGTTTGCATGCTTCAGCCTAGGTTCGTAGACACAACATGTTCGTAAAAAATAGAAACATATTCACGTGAAATTATTACTATAACTAAATATAAAATAGCGAATTCCGTGCCTATATAAAAATAATCACTTTCTCGCGAAAATATCGAAAATGTATTATTTATTAATCTATTATTATATGTATATATATAATTATTATATTAGACTCACCACTATGATTCGATTTCTTTTTTTCTTCTTCATTCTCGTTTAATTCTTGCCTTCTCTTCGTTTCTTTGATTTTATTCCTTTTTCTTTATTTCCTTTTCATTTTCACTCTCATTCTTGTCTTCCACGGTTCCCTCTTGTTATTTTAATTTTTCATTACTGCAGCAGTTCTTACTTGTATTCTGACACCTGCGGCAACCAAATGTCGTGCAAATTCATAGTCACTTGTATTTATAAACTTCTGCTGTGGAACAAGCTGGTACCGTTTGTTATTGGTCGACAGTCAAGCGGTGGGAGACATAGGAGTTCATTGGCCACCAGAGCGCTGTCCTTTCTACCAGTAACCAATAGGAAGACATTAACACACAGTTTTAATCCATGTCCGTGTGCCAAACTACATATTAATGTTTACTCTAAAATTGTATTTTGTAAGCAAAATCGAAACGAATTGTAATATAATTTATATACTCGACTTCTCTGTATACTGCTTCGAATTTTTAATAAATTATATCGGTAATCAAAGTGAATATAAGTAAAAATTGTACAATAAATCGATTGTTTAATTCGAAATTGTAAATAATATGTAAACGACCACGTACTCTTTGTTTTATTTTTATATATGCTTATTTAAACATTCATAGAATGCTGTGTACACGGTGATGCACAAGAAAGAAGCAAAGTGCATACGTCCGCCATTATTACGATATTTGAACTTTCTTCTGCTTCGTTTACTTCGTTATTTATTATTAACAATCAGAATGATGAACTTTTAATTAAGAAAATATATACCTAGTGTCTATTTTTATTTTACAGATTGACAAAAGTCACGTATTGTTACTTTTCAAAATTTTACGATCGAAATCATCTACTGGGTACGACAATGTTCGTTTCGATCTCTAATAGATCGAAAATCTGCTATACAAAACTTCCGAATTTATCAGTTATTTTTTATATAAAATAATTAATTACTTACGAAAACTCGAGCACAAAATTTTCTCGACGACATAGAATGCGTGGGCAGTCATGCTATAGGTAGAAATTGGAACGCACAGCTGACCAATGAGCTTAAACTTTTCCCACCGTGTGCTCACTGACCAATCGCGATGAGTTAGTAACTGGACCCCATGCAAAGAGTTATAAATAATTAATATTTATTATAGTTATCAATTATTAATATGTGAGGAACTGTTAAAAGAATAAAAAAGAAAAACTGAACTATAAAATGATAGACAAGGAAGATGAAATTTCAATACAGTTGAGAACACACAAAAATATGCTATTCGATATCGTTTACATACATGCATTGAATTATTACCTACATTTTCTATTTCACTCGATAAATATATTATTACGTTCGTCGTTTTCGGTAGACGATATAATTATAAGTACAACAGCTTGCAACACTTCTTGTATACAAGAATAAACACGATATTATACACGATTAACGAGCACTGTCTGTCACACGTCCGAACACGAAGAAATCCCGCCAAAAACTGTGCTTGCTAATTCAATCGATATTATCGATCGACAAGGACCGAGAGTCTTTCCCTTCTTTTCAATTGTGACTAAGTTCACACCGAATCTACTAGTAAATAGATAAAGTTTTGTCTATACCCCCGATGCTCTTACTCGTTTTTTTGGCTGATCTTTTATAGGTATGAGACAATGGTGATTACATATTCATGAAGGAAGGTAGGACATAAAGGATGTAAACGTCAATGCTCCATAAAGTGACGCATAATGAGGGCAATTAATAAGGCATGACAAAGCGAAACGAAAGTGTTGTTAGGGTGATAAAAATGTCGGATTTATGTGAACCTCTGAACCTCAATGTTAGCTGCCTGACAGCGGAGATCGCATGGGGTCAATTTTACAGCGTATACTCACACTAATTCCATTATTTAGTCAATTTGCAGATTACAGTTAATTTAAACTGGCAATTTATGAAAGGGTAGTATCTGCTGGTACAGTCGGGTACTTTATCAACGACAGCCGCGTTGCTATTAACAGCTGTTGGTAGCAACACTTGTAGAATGCATATAATTCTCACTAAAGATTTCGCACAATATTACAAATTTTACTATTAAACATTCGCGTATAAAGTACGTAATAGAAAATGAATCAGAACTAATATGCTTTTATTCACCATTCTGTATGATTATTCTAACCGCGTTTTAGATGCTTCGCGCCAATTTTGTACTAATGTGGACAGATAAATATGAATTTCTATATAAATTTAAATATGTATAATGTACCTACATGTTCGCGTTTTTCCACTTCGTATGATTACTGTACTCACACCGCGAATAATAAATAATTATTTTTTGTATTCATTAATTAAAAGAAATTGAAAACTATCTGTTCGAATGGCTGACAGGATGACGTCATGATTAAGGCGGATCTTCGTGTAGCAACAACCTGTTTGAGTTCTTGCAATGAAAATTACATATTTTTATAAATATTAAATACAGTTGTAGTATAGAAATATATCTATATGTAATATAAAAAATTATATTAACCTTCACCCTATGTTTGTGACTTTATAAAGAATTGAAAAAACAATCGGAATTATACCGATATTATAGACTCATTGTATTTACGTAAATACAATTATGTAGTTTGTACTTGTAGTAACGATAAGTGTATATGCATAGAAGCTTAGGGGAATTTGCATGACATAGAACAGATAAGTTTGATTCATGTCGATGCCCGCGTTGCCAACACAATGTTATTGAACAAATAAAATTTATATGTTTCAATTTTTTTATGCTTTTTCTATTCGTATTTCTTGCACAGATTTTATTATCAATGCAAGTATATAAATACCTATCTATCATACGGCTGAGTAAAACAGTGGACTTTACACAACGTTTCATACATGAATTATAATGTTGCATTTAT